AATAAGCTCGATAATTATAATATTGTCATTAGTATTGTACTTCATAAACCTAACTTCTTTTAATCAACTTAAGAATCCTCCTCGTTATAGTCGGTTAAGAAAATTAATCTTGTTTTAGAATTGAATCCATAACTTCCTACGAAGCGAGCAATGACATTCAGCCACCATACCGGAAGCAACACTGTTTAACCTTTGGCCGCATTTTCCCCATAATTAACCCTTAAAAGCATTTAAGGATTTCTATAATTAACATTTTTAAAGAAGGTAATTAGTAAGAAACGGCAAGTTAGAGCTTAACCACGCGATCTAAATTAAGTTTTTAACTACAAAAAGTCAGGTTTCTGAATGCTGAAGTCAAAAAGTAAAGAGCCTATGTAATGAGGACGTTACGTAAGAAACTACTTGCGTAGCTTTGTGCATGCGAGTTAGAACTGGGCTGGTTTGATCTAGAAATGTATGAATTATAAAGGATTTTAGCTATTCCCTTTGTTTTAAATGCTTTTTAGAAAAGTATTATTAGCGAACTCTTTGACTCTTTTGACCAACTTCAAAAACAGGAGTGTGTCAATTCATGTGTGTTTGATTGTGAAAAGTATTCTTGGCCCTTGTTAACCATTTTTACACTAAAATGCAAATAATTACAATCTTTTCTCAGCGGACCCTTATATTTCCTTTAATTATGGAAACTATATAAAATTTTACGTTGTTTCAGTGCTTATTTATCCAAACGACAAAACCCAAAGAGTTTATAACACAGAATTATTGAATTTTAATGTCATTTCTCTTGGTATTAAATACACATATTTTACTTTAAGAAAGCCGAAATATATATTTTATCTATATATGTGTATAAATCTTATAAATAAAGTTTATTTTTATAAAATAGAGTAAAAAAACTCTATTGTAAAGTACGAGAAGAATTGGTAGTTTAAACAACAAGCACTAAGGCGATATTTAACAGTTATTGAGAGTTCGTGATTTATCATATTTTTGTCGTTCTCTAAACTATTTGTTATTTCGTCTTTATATGAATAAGTTGAAGGATAACGTTAAATCTAAAGTTTAAAGTTACGGCTTCAGCAAGATATACACATACATACATATATATGTATGTATGGACAAATTGCTTGTACAGTTAGTAATACGTCGTTAGTCGCTTCGAGTTCGGTAAATGGGTTCCCACAATACGTGTATGCATAAATGCGGTCCAATGTTTGCTTAACACGTACTAATTGTACCTATATGTACATTTATAACTGTTTACGTCCAAACTCCGGTTATATCATTGCACACTATAAGTTTAACTAAAGATGAACATTTTACAGTTTTTAATATGGTTTTGGATGAACTTGAATCATTAATTTGTTTTATTTGCTAAATAGATAAATTAGTTTTAAATCAGAATCAAAGCATTTAAGGCTGAAAAACATTTTAACCCCTTTTTTAATATTACTTTTTGACAGATTTTAACAAAGGAGGAGTACTTATCAATTTTATGTTTATTGTGTGTATATAACGCCATCTTTGCTAATTGTTTATATATATATATATATATATATATATATATATATATATGAATCCTACTAATATTATAAATGGGAAAGTTAGTGAGGACGTATGGATGTATATTGTATAGATGATTGTTACTCTTTCACGCAAAAACTACCGAATGGCTTGTAATGAAAATTTACAATAATATAGCTCATATATTAGAATAACACATAGACTCCTTGTTATCTCGGAAAATGTACGGTCCAATTGGCATAGATTTACGGTTTTCTTAGAGGCGAACGCGGGCGAAGCGAGGTTGGGCCGCTAGTATTATATAAAATGTCTACTATAGGAGATACCTTTTTAACTGAAAATTAATTTATAATGAGATAGTGTTATGTTTTGGAAGTAGATATTTTTTAATTGTTAATGTCCCAACATATTTATTTTTCAACATATTTAATAATAAAATATCAAGTGTGAATAAAGCCTGAATTCATAATAATTTTAATAATAAGTTCATAAAGATAGAGACAAATATATCTTTTGTACATAAATCTAACCAAAACAGTGATATGGAAAAGAAGAAAGCAATGCTCGCAATTCAACTTAGAAACTGTGAGTTAACTTCACTAATACACATTTAACAGAACCACTTTAAACTTAGCAAAGACTTGAGTGGAGTGGGAATTCCAGTTCTACGATTAAATGTTGAGAAACGAATGTTGTAATCCAAAACCACTTTAGTTTTGATTGCTAGATATCATTAATATACCAATTTTACATGTAAAAGTAAAAAACACTCATAAATGGTTGTATTCAGCCATTTTTTAACGACCCACTGCTGGACACGGGCCTCCCCTTTAGTACGAGGGGAATTAGGCCATAGTCCACCACGCTGGCCAAGTGCGGGTTGGCGGACTTCACACGTCTTTTGAAAACTTGCTAGGTTCTCTCAGATATGCAGGTTTCCTCACGATATTTTCCTTCACCGTTAAGACAAGTGGTAATCATGTAGGAAATGATTCGCACATGAAAATATCAGAGGTGCGAGACCCGGGATTTGAACTCGCTTCACTCGGTTTTCCAAGCGAGCGCGGTAACCACTGGGCTACCACTGCCTTATTATTATATAAATTATTTTTAATTATTTACTTTGGTCCTTAAGAATGTTTTGTTATATAAAACATACGTTTTATCTAGATATAAATTAAAAACGTCTTGAAAACAGGCGTACTATAATAGGTGAAGATATCGCGTAACAAACACAAAAACATATAACTGAATAGAGCACCTCCTATTTTATATCGGTTTAAACTTTAAGCAGTAGTTTATAGCACTCAAGTTATATAAAAAATAAAATTAAGTTTTTATTTTTACTCCTAACATATTTGTCGTTTCTGCTACAACGAAATAGCCGTATAATAAAATGAATATAATTTTCAGCCAGCTTTTTTAATTAAAATTGTAACATATAAAAGTTTTAAAACCAAAACTAGCATGCTCCTACTTAATTCTATTTCGCTTTCTTAATTGTTTAACCTTTATACACATGCTTAAAATACAGGGGTTTTTCATAAAAAAAATTATATAGGGATTCATTTCGACTTTACATAATTCTTTTTTTAATAATATATCAAAAGTTTAAAGCTTCTTATTAAAAGCTTAAGGTAGTTGTCACCATCGGTGCTACTGTGCAATTGAACTATCACTATTTTGAATATTCCTCAAATCCGTAGAACAGTTACAGCGTGATAAAGTAATAAAACATGTGTGATTACGGATCAACTCCTTCTAACATAGATATTTATTTAAAAAATCATAGCATTTTGTAAATTTTTAGTTAAAATAATTTATTTTAGTACCTACAATTTAAAAGTGAAATAAATCAATTATTACATACATCAAATACATAAAAGCTCTCAGCGGGATTACCCGGCGCGTGAAGCGCACGAGGACTCTTGACCCCCTTCCCCATTTAATTGTTCAAACGTGCGTCAGCTTTGTTACTTAAACATATAAATATATTCGTAGCTTTCAACTTATTCTATATTCAAAAGCTTTCTTGATTGGAAAGAGAAGAAATAAAAATATCTTTCCGAATACACCCTACACGGTTATATGCAATTTTTTTCAACCCTTACTAAATATATGGAGTGCCACCCCAAGTTTCGTAATTTCGTTTCACCTGAGACATCTACCTATCAAATTTCAGTAATAGTGCAAATAATCTCCAAGTAAACTTATTGTGACATACATTGAACCAGTCATGGCGAAATAATATGAGTCCCGTTTTTGTCTTATACTTACGGTAAATGATTTATAAGTAGTATAATGTGGTAATATTATGCTTAGATTATTTGAATTTTAATCAATATGTTCTTGTACAGGAATCGAACCCCGTTATACCTTTATATACTCTTTATTGCACATAAAAACAAAAATACAAATATTAACAAAAAATTGAAGGCAAAGGTGGACTTATTTCTAAAAGAGATAAATAACACAAACTATAAGTATATAAAATACATAGATAACAATAATATAATACCTATATTTTATACCATACATACATAGTATACATCCATACAAAACATATATACAATACATACATAATATAATAACTTCAGTTAGTTGGACACTATACCAAGTCTTCGCATTTTAATAATCCTATTGAATCGTGATCAAAATAGACCTTTGATATTTTTATATATTTTTTTGTTTAAAATAAATAACACTGACGTAATACAACTATGGATGACTTCGAGTGATATTTTTTAATTTACTTGTTCAACGTATTTCGATTGGAACTCTCAAACAAGTTTACAATTGACTGTTCTTTTATGTATGTCATGTCGAAAACAATTTCGTGCCGTCGCGCATTTGTATAATCCTATTGTACTCCGTATTATATGAAACATTAAATATTTTTACGTGTATATTTAATTAGTTACACTCTTCTGATTATGAGTATTATCATTTGAGTTTGTGCACTGAATACGCTTTAAAAGTTTCATTGGCAGTTTCTGACATAAACAGGAGTTATACTTCTATTACAAAGTTAAATGCTTTTTTTAAAAAGTTTAACAAAATCACGTATAAATTTCTTAAATATACTGTAAATAGCTCATTTCATATAACTAAAAGAATGGTTCTAGAGATTATAACTAAGCTTTGTTTCATGAATTTAACTACATCAAAGCATCTGAAACTCAAAGCAACTGGTATACTAAAAGATCCCGTGCCCCCTATCAATAAAGGGATGAGAAATATCCTAAGATGAGTATAACGCAAGTCCACCCTTAAGTCAGGATCGGTGAGAGAGACGTCATAGGAACGATGGTTTTCGTGCTCTCCGAGGCATGGGGGTGAAACACACAACTTACCAAGTCTGGGCTGTTACTGGGATTTTTTTCCAGAAAAACCCAACAACCAAAACTCGACCTAGGAATCAAAAGCAGGACTTCCATATGTGCTATGCTATATGGCTGGTGTATAATCTGACTCACCTTATCCCTAATCTCCTGACGCATCTTCTCCCGCTCCTCCTCCATCTTGCGATGTTTCTCCTTGCGTCGCTCCTCAGCTTCACGGATGGCTTCTTGCCGTTCACGTTCCGCTTCTTCTTCCTTTTCCTTATCGTCGCTGTCATCGCCGTCACCACCGACTGCGCCTGAAGCAACGGAGATTATACGTTAATTGTCATTATCGATATATCGATACCTTTTATATAATGTCCCTCATGTGTAAAAGAACAGAGTCTAATGGTAAAACAGAATTAAAGTATACTATTATGGTGTATTAGCAAATGGTAACCAAAAAAGTTGTTCAAGGAAGTAGAAGGTTTGAAAAAATCTTGGTTAATTTAGAGAATAATAAAAAACAAAAATGTTATTTTGGGAAAAATAACTCCACAATAAAAACATGTTCAGTGACTGCTAAAATATTAATTAATATTATTATGTAACCACATATATCATATAAAATGAGATGATATGAAAAACAAATAACAAAATCCTACATTTATTATAATAATCTGGATTTAGCTGAAATTAACGACTGTAAAATATTATAATCATTTTAATATTTTCACTAAAATATTAATATGTTGGATAATTTTTATAATTACAATATATCGATGATATTATTGTTATAAAATTTGGATATAATTGTTGTATAAACACCGAAATGTTATTCACAGTAGTATTGCGGATGACACCCTATATTCATTTAGTGTACAATATCGTAATCAATTTTGAAACAATCAAATTTTGCTTCCATTCATTTTATATAACAAAATAGGTTTATAGTATCAATTTCCACAACTGCAGAAGGGGAAAGCTATTGGTCCGCATAGAACCTGTAAACTGATTGCAGTTTCCGAACGGAATTAGAGGGAGCATTTGCTTGTACCGCTTTCAACTGGTTCGAACCGGTTAGGAGCAGTTCAAATCGGTTTAATCCGGTCGAAAGGCATGCGACACGCCATTCAAAAATCCATTATACGTCAATATAAGCATTTGTCCCGGATCCCGAACCTATTTTCCGATACGATGCCCTTTAAAAGAATGCACGATGAGTTCGGAAGTTGGACAGGTTTGTAGGCTGGGGTCGGCGATTAGTTTTATTGGGTGACGTTAAATAATTACAAGTAGGCGCAAAATGAATTTCCTCGTGGAAAAAGGGCAATTTGCGTATTTTAAGTGTTTGGCAGTTTATTAAGTGGTTTTTTTGTTCTTTTTTTACGGATTAGTTATTGTCTGTGGAGTTACTCGTTATGTCACTTTCATTAAATGATATATGCGCTCCAATTTACATCGAGTTTTGTAGACAAATTATCTCTCGTTAAGGTTTTTATGTATATATTAATTAATTGTACTTATTTTGTTGTAGGTTTATTAAGAATCAACAATCTTTTTTAGATATTATAATTTAAAATAGTTTTAATTATCTTATTTTACCGACCAATCTCGTTTGTGTCTTTTCCATTCTACGTGACATTGGCGAAGTAATCTGTGCTCAACTGGCACGCTTTGAAGCCATTAACAAGAAAATTGAATTGAATTAGAGTTTTGTTGATTACTTTGTTTGTTTATTAGCATATGTCTTACGACTGCTCAGCCAAAGGTAATGCATTCGATTTTGAATTACATAATGTTTGTGATATTTTTAATATACTACATTACATTATCTATATTAACTGCTTCACTTATTTTAATTGTTATTAGTTTTAGTATAAAAAAACTTGATGAACTATATTTGACCGACTTAAAAGGATGAAGTATTCAATTCGGTCGTATATTTTTTGTGTATAAGTACATATGTTACGAGATATCTTTGAACATTACATTATACCTCGAGGACCTCTCACATAAATTTCAAGATGTTGAAATGAAAGTTAGTAATTAAAAGTAAAGGGTTTTTAGAACTAAATATCCCATAACAATACGTACAAATCAAAACACACATGATACATTGATGTAATAACTCTATTTCCTACTAGTTCAATAAACAATTTTGGGCTCTCGAATTTTGCCCGCATTCAGTCAAAACAAAATGAAAGCAGCCACTAGCATATATCGAATGCCTTGCTTAGTTAGATTTACATCGACCCAGGTCAATACCCTCTGCTATGCATACCGCTTTCATGTCCGCCGCGCCGCTGCGCCGGTGCGACGCGAAAACTTTGTTTAGGACTCAAATTAACATGTCCCGTGTAAAATAGTTGAGTAAGATTAGAATATACAGTGATGTAATGTGGCATTAAATGATATTCATCTCTGTGACTAAGGACGGCGTTTCGATACTGTAGGGGGTAAATGTGTTAATTTTGTGTTAACCGCTTAAATCGCTTACGAATTTCGATGAAAGGCAAGGATATATTATTGCATCTTGGGGGCGAGCATAGAATACTCTTATCACGTCACTTACCACGTGAACGAAGCCGCGAGTCAAATCTAGTATGAAATTATCCAATATTATACAACTTACTTTTATATACAAGGAAACAACTATATCTATCGGGTAAAATAATATTCGTATGTATATGCAAAATATCATATAAGTTCATTGGCACGACAAAGACAACAGATAATAATAGGTAAATAGGTATTTTTAAATTTATAGTTCTACTAGCGACTTAGTCCCTACTTATGTTTTAACGTTTAGTATAGATTTCTCAGAGATGAGATATTTTCCCGCAGTAAAAAGTATCTTATATGTTGAACCGGATACCCAGCTATCATCATACAAAATTTCACCAAAATCTGTTCGGGGGTTTTCTCGTGATGCGTTCCCAGACAGACAAAAATTCTAAAAACTATATATTCGATATCTGTATCGATAATAATGACTGTTTCAATAAGATTTTCAAAAAAATATTTAATGGACAGATTTGAGTCAGTTATATGTACCTATACATAAATTAAATAAAGCAAAGAAGGATACAAAAAAGATAATGAAAACATAAAATATAATAAAAACGATAAGAAATTTCGTAACAAAGTCAAAGTTTAATCGTAAAAAGTGTATCTTTTAAACTTGCACTCCCTAAGGACAGAAATTCCCTCAAATACTCTCAAATTGATTATTATTTAAATTCTCGGATGAATATTCAGATCTAATATTTAATGAGGGCGCAGAATTGAAGTTCTCAGAAAAGAAATCCATACTTAAGTAGGGTCAGAAAAAAATGTTCAAAGATTTTGTCTAATACCAACATATTCCAGGATACAATGAGAAATAGTAATATAGTAGATGTTGCAGTTCGTGGATTCAGTTCGAGTGAGTCTTTTGTACTATTTGCTTATAGGTACCTGAGTTATTTTAAATATTTCAAAAATAACGAAAAATGGACAGAGCAAATTTAGGGATATCAATTTCTGCCTTATCTATATCAGATAATAGTGAAGATTGTCAAAATTACATCAAATGTGTCGATTGAAATTAAATACACATATAGGATATGAAATTAAAATATTTTGTTAATATTGTTAGTATGAAAATGGTTATAATATTATAATATACAATTCAGTAATACCTTCTTTTCGTTTTGATATGCCCTTATTTGTGTACTAAATTTAATTCAAATCCGTTCAGCTATTTCAGGGCGAAGGAGTAACAAACATACATACAAATTTTCACATTTATAATATTACTCTGATAAATAGCTAGTTTAACTGTGTACTAGCGGCTCACTTCGCTCGGGTTTGTTCGTTCATTTCCTTTTGAAAAAAAAACAAATCTATCCCTCGGGAACCATTCATTAATCCGGAATAAAAAGTAGCCTATGTATAATTATGATGTATGAGCTATATTATTGTAAAGTTTCATTAAAATCCATTCAGTAGTTTTTGCGTGAAAGAGTAACAAACATACATACATCTATACATTCAGACATTCATACATCCTCACAAGCTTTCGCATTTGTGATATTAGTAGGCATAGTACAATAATAAGGCAACACGTGTGACAACGTTTTCGAACTATACTGGCTTAGTAGAAGCCATTGAAAGAATTGCGTCTGTACGTCGACATCGATTTTCATTACTGTTTCGCCATTGCAAAGGACGGATTTGAAAAAATCTATATCAGATGACAGAATCAATGTACTTCGACCGACTTCAAAAAAGTGGTATTTATTTTGGATAAAGTACAAGTAGAATCTAGGGATACCAATATATTATGTAGATTTATAAAAAATCTGAATTTAAAAAAAAACATTAATACTTGTGTGTTTTTTTAATTTTTTTTCGATTATAAATGATAAAAATCTCACTCCCTTTAGTTTACTAATAGTGCATGATTATATAATATATCAAGGAGATTGGATACTCGAACATGTTCTTAAATATTATAAGCGACTAGCGGCTCACCCTCGCTTCGCTAGGATTCACCTCTAGGAAAATAAAAAAAAAAATTATCCCACTGGAACCGTATATTTTTCCAGGATAATAAATAATAATAATAAATGTTGGGACATAAACACACAGCGCCATCTAGTTCCATGGTAAGTTTCTAGGCTTGTGTTATGGATACCAGATAGTTGATACACTACACATATATAACTTTAAATACATACATATTATAAATATAAACACCCATGACTGGGGTACAAACATTCGTGCTCATCACACAAATGAATGCCCCCAGCGGGGCTGGAACCCGCGACCGCTGGCACATCAGGTAGGGTCACTACCAACTGAGCCAAACGTGTCCTCAAATAAAAAGTAGCCTATATATTATTCCAGACTATATCTATCTCTGCGCCAAATTTCATCCAGATCCGTTCAGCCATTCTGGCGTGAAAGAGTAACAAACATCCATACATACTCACAAACTTTTACATTTATAATAGTTATCGGATGTTAGTTATCCTTCCGTCATAGTAAAAAGGATCCAAATGTTTAATCTTAAGAGTTATTCCTGATATCTATCAGTCTTATGTTACTCCAGGTACACTCTATCTGTTTACTAAAAATTCAAACATACATACATACACACACAAATTTTCGCTATATAACAGTCCGATAGTCTTGATATATTTATATTTCTAACTTCATCGTTCTAACCACTAACCCTCTCAATTAAAAGCTTCGAAATTAAATATAGCTGATATGACGAGAGGCGACGTGATGGAGGGATGGGACGTCAAGCACAATGTGCGGCCATCGAGCGCCGCCAGATTGGATTGTCGCACTCCAAGGATACGCTCGATATTGTACAGACATTTCGTATTTTTAGATTTAGTTCGAATTTTGATATTAGAATCGGAGGATTCAAAGTTTTTAATGTTTTTAGTTTGTTTGAAATACTTAGTTTAGAGTTTTAAGTGAATATTAAGTATCAGATGAGGAATTTAGACTAAATTCTAAAATGCGAAAAATACATAACTGTCTTAGATGTAATATTATTTGGAATATAACTACTAAAAATTAGTTATTTGGAGTTTTGACAGTAAATAAATTTAAAAAATAAACCATATTATGTTAAAGAAAATAAAAATTCTACATTTTGTAGATATATTGTATAAATATTACAAAAACTTAAGCTCAGTACAGTAAAAATATATTGTACAATGAAGAAAATAATTAAAAACGGAAAGAAAGGTCAAGATTTTTCCTTCTACATGAAAATTCAAAAAGCATTAAACTACGAAATAAATAGCATCCGAATACATTTTTTCGCGAACTGAACGAAGTCGGACATGCCTATGGTAATGAAATGTGTAATAACGGGCATTCCTCGACAGCGAGCGTCGCCAATAAAATATTTATACCTATTTGATGCTTAAAAAAAATGGCCGATTTTGTTATATTATATTATGTACAGCTGAGTGTCAATTATTGTTGTCAAAGTGTTTATTTGAATTAATATATGCAGTAAAATAAGTACGATCTATGTTTATATTATAAATTGTATTCAGATCTTTTTACATCCCACTGCTGGGGGTGGGCCTTCAATACGAGGGGGATCAGGCCATAGTCCACCACGCTGGCCAAGTGTGGGTTGGTAGACTGTACATGTCTTTCTAAAACTGAGTAAATTTTTAGGCTTACTAGCTTACTAGGCTCTCAGACATGCAGGTTTCCTCACGATGTTTTCCTTTATCGTAAGACAAGTGGTAATCATGTTGGAAATGATTCGCGCGTGAAAATATCTGAGGTGCGAGACCTGGGATTTGAACCCGCTTCACTCGGATTCTTGAGCAAGCGCTTTACCACTGAGTTACCACTGCTAGTAACAAATCAATTTACAATGTAACTTATTGTTTTATTTTTATTTGTAGAATTAACGCCAAAAATTAAATCAAACTTTAATATTTTAAATAAAACTATCTTTAAGAACTTAGGTAGATTAACAGGTAGATGTAGTAGGTTCTAACTGTGTAGATGATAGCATTTCAGATTAATATTTTTCATTTGTAAAAGTATATAGTGATAGTGTTGCTTAGTAAATCGTCTTTTTTAAATAATGGCAAACTAAATTGAAATTATTATTCTTAACTAATTTTAACTTTTTATATTACACATAGAACAATTATGTGGCTTAAAGAATTAATATTATATTTTATATTTTTTCTTTATGGTTATAAATATAATAAAGGAAACACTAAATATAGATTACTAATTAATATTTTAAAAATCGTAATAATTATAATAATAACAGCATAAATTAAATAAATAATATTCCATATTCAATTACAAAACTATTATAAAAATGTTTAAAGTTAAAAAATATTGTAAGGTTATTGGTGCAATTTTCATTTTATTATTTGTGAGTAGGCTGTCTAACAACTATACCTTCGAGACATCTAACACCTCAGTCTCTCCCGTGACCATGAATGCTGTAAAGCATTCGAAATGTCGGGAACCAAAAATCCAAATAAATCCGCGAAAAAATCCGAAAAGATAGTTTATTTAAAATGTCAAATATTTGCATAAATCTAAGAAAGTATTATCAAACTTTAATAATTACAATCATTGTTACCTCCTAATAATAAGCAAACGAGCAAAGCACACAAAGAGTTAAATATATATAATAGAACTATATAATGTAAGCAAAGACTATTAACTAATCTTAGTTACAGTTTTGTTATACGTATGTATAAATTTCATCATATACTGCTCAGCTTGAAGACGAAGTTGCACATAATATAACTTTGATACCAATTACTACCACAATCAGGTTAGCTTAGCTTCTAAATGAAGTTCTGACTCTAGAGCGTCTCCGCTTCATTCAATTACACTCCCTTATTGGTTTCAG